TATGCGTGCTGTTATAAATCGGATGAAATCATTTTGCATGAATGTGTCGTGCCCCATGATTTTGACAAATTATTAGTTTTTACTCTTAACACGTTCTCATTAATTTTAATGCCACAATATCTTTCTTTATATCATACAGTAATTTGAAATCTGGTTAAATTATATTCAGGTAATTCTAAGGCGCAGTTTTTTTTATTTTTCAGCATTTTGTATGTACCTTTCGCTATTTCTTTCTACGGAATCACAAAGGCAAAATTTGGAATGCATAGGGCGTAAATATTGTTTTGTAAAGGCGGTCTATTATATCTCTCATTGTCCTTAATTACATGAAGAAATATGAATGAACCATTATGAATTAAACTGGAAATAAGCCGAAATAGCTTATCAAGCACACATTCGTATCAAAATAGTTAAAACCTTAAGAGTAACGCTTGAATATTCGAATAAATTATTTCGATGGCAAGGATGATAATCTGGCTTTGTTAAACAATTAAACATTTATAGTGAATATTGATATTGCTTTTGTATATATTTGTAATCTTTCAACGTTGTTTTTAGAGCATTTCCAGCATAATGGAAAAATATAGGCTTAGTAGTTTCAATTTGTCCGTCCGCTCGCCATCCTTGCATCTTTTTCTAAAACTTTTACACTCTTAAGAGAAAAAGTTAAAATTTAATACGCAATTTAATATTATCAAGAAACTTATTTTTCAAGAAAACAAAATTTTCCTTGCTTCCCTCTTTCAAAAGAAATACCCCATTCAATTAAATCTTAAAAAAAATAAATATTACAAACGCAATAACAATAAAATAATTCGATTTAATAAATTTCTTATACCGAGAATATTGTTTATTTTATAAAGGAATTATGGTTACCGTCACTAAAATAAAATTCTAATGACATTACGTACATTTATAAAATAAAGTACATACTACGTACTATAATATGTGTACGTATAAATTTCGCATTTAGAGTTAATGCATTCTTAAGATATTTTTTTGTAAAGAACCCACTTTCTATATTGAAACTAAGTATTGTTAAATATTTATTTATTACTTTGAAATGCACTTCATAAAATATATATAAACATGAAAATATAAACGTATGAACACAAACATTTTTGCGCATATACGGAAGCAGTATTATTTTCATTTTGAGTATTATAAATTATTTTAATGATATTATTGTGAAAAATATATATTATTTTACTGAGTTTCCCAAATGAACAGTTGGAATAGATTCTTTTGTAGAAATACAAATTTTTTTTATCATATTATTACAGAGTATTGTCAAAAGCTGCTTAGTATTTTGAGAAATTATACTTGAAGTTGAATGCATCCTACTAGATTTTCTGTTCATTATTTTACCCACATGATTTTCATTACGATTTATACAACTCTAAATAAAAATTAAGAAACAACTCATACCCATGCACTGTATACACTATACATCTAAGTAAAAATATAAAGAAGCAATCCTTTTAACAAAAAGAGACGTATGTACCAAGTAGAGAGCATTATGTAAATACTATGTACGTAAGTAAACAATATTTTTTGATCAAATTGAAAAAGGGCTTAAACAATTCGTCATACTGCCCTCATACTTTTTCACTTTGATTATCTTTATACTTTAGCAAATCACAAATAAAATCCCACGTGAATAACACTATTAAATTACCACGATTTTTGAAAGTTAGCTCTTGGTATGTGACTTGTATTCAAAAAATACACAACCAGATTGTAAATTTTGTCTTAGTTTTTTTTTAATGACATGAGAAATTTAATTAAAAGAAATTTATTCATAAGAAACCAAGAAATCCTCTAGATTCCACAAAAAAAAAACGCATTGCTTTTCGAAAAAGTGATTCAAAATTTTAACATCCTGCAGTAGAAAGCGGTACGTCTATAGTCACGAAATCCTTTATCATCCTTTTCCGACCACATACACAAAATAATTTTTAAATGTTAATGTCAAAGTTTTTTGCCTTTCAATAAATGAAAGATGTATTAAAGTTCTGGCTCATTTAAAACGCGGCCTATTGAAAAGTGAAAGCGAATGCAAAAAAAATTAGGAATGATAGGCAATCTTTAATTTTATACAAATTATGGTATTGGCTTTAGTACTTAATACCGAAGATAAGAATGTTGACCCTCCCAAAAAATAATCCAAGTCACTAAAATTTTGACATTTAAAGAGGTTTATAGATTTATCATTAACCCATGTACCTTAAATCTAGGTTGAACTGTGACAGTAAAATATTAAACAAAATTTTAATAAAATTTTACAGCCTCTTATATTTGAAATTTTACATTGAAAACAATATTTTTAACTTGAAAAAGAGAAAATCTTTAAAATTAAGATTATATGCGAAAATTTTTTGGTTTATAAGATTTGAAGAGAGCAAGAAAAGAATTTAATATTTAAATTATTCGCTAAGAAATCACACGTACACTTATAAAATGTTAAAAATTTTAAGAAAATGTTATAGAATAAAAAAAAATGTTTTAATTTTTTTGTGTATCCGAAGTAAAATATGAATTTTTTAAGAAATTTATTACCAAAGAAGCAATCACTTCAAAAATTTTATTAAAAATATTTACAAGACACAACATTGTTGACACATGACTTTATAAGTATGTGGCATAGAAAATATTTTAAAAGAATTTGAAATTTTTATTAATAAATTTAAAAATAAGAATTTTTGCTACGGTGGGTAAATATGTATTTGCATAAGTTAATATCTAACTACAAAAAGTGTACGAAAATTACGTAAATTCTTGCGTTACCAGCAGTATTTTATAGAAAATTTGTTTGAATATTTGATCTGATGTTGTCAGCACATAACCGACCGCAATGTATATTGTCTAGATTAGTAAAAATATTCAAGAAAATCATGAAAATTCGTTTTAAACACTTCTATACAATTTTAAGGGCACTAATAAGCTTTTAACATACCTAGAAAAATGTGAATTTGGCTCTTAGTAGAGTTTCACATTGCATCGTCGGAATTATACGAAAAGAAAAAAGCTTGTCAGAAACTTCTGATAACAATCAGAACACAAATATTAAATTTAAAGAAATTCCATCAATCCGTTCCGTAGATAAAAATGTAAAATCGGTTGATTATTTCTCTTTATATATGCAAAAATGTATATTTGACCCGTAGTAAACGTCCAGTTTCTGACACCTGATTTCAAAAGTTAGGAGTTTTCGCGTACGGTCGAATTAATCATATACATGAAATTCAAATAAATCTATTGAAATTTTTCTATTGAAAAATATAAAACAGGTCCGTTAAAAGGCCCTGTTCCTGAGGCCTAAAATATCCCAAATGTTAATCAATCCGTGACATAGTTCAAATAAGCTTACATATAAAATTTCATCAAAATCGGTTCAGTCGAAAATAGTTTATTTACGCTTCCTTAATTATGGAGAAGTGCGTTTTCATGAAAACTCGTTATGCAAAATTTGTTGCCATCACATACCTCCCATTTTGTATGCAATGCGGCCGCTAACAATTATTTGTAAACTGTTTCTGATTATCTCGTTATTCTGCGACACTTTTATATTACTGAAAATTTAGTAATAACGCATTACTTGTTTAGAGTGCGAAAAAGGAAGAACAGCGAATGCTATAATTACCGTTTTTCATTGAGTGATTGAGTCATTGAACTGAAGGCATTGTTTGAATTACAAAATATTTTTATTTAAAACACAAACAGTGTTGCTTGTGTTATTAACAAACTAAATACGAAAAATTTTTGAAGAGAATATCGATTAGTTTCTTATCTGATGCAAAATTAATTACACCGAGGGAAAACCTGAATTTGTAATTGATTTAACAAAACAAAACTGAAAAATTTTCTTGAAAAAAAAAAGAATTTTTCTCAAAAAAAATAATGCTTTAATATACTTTTGAAATTTTTAATGACAGTAACAGAATTTTATAAAACACGATCCAGTATAATATTAATATGTTTTTCTTATTTGAAATATTGGCGAAGAACACGTTTTAGATAACAGTTAATTCGACAATATACAATTTGGTAACAGTTTCTTTATGAGAAGAAAAAAAACATGACATCTTTCCACATTTCAGAAATTACAGATTGTCTTGGTAATAATGTCGTAGTTATTGAAAAATAAATGAATTTTTCAATAACTACGATTTTAACAAACTTTGAAGTACTCGTACTATAGCTTCAAGGGAAAATCGAATATGTAACAATTATGTATATATGTATGTACATATCTTGTAGAAGAGATTTACATTTGCTAAAATTTTTTTCAAAATATTAGTTTTGAAGTATTTTATTTTGTACTTGATTTAATTACAAGAGTCTTAAATTAAAATTTACCCTTTAAATGCAAGGGTTGCTTTAAAATTTATTTGGATCATAAAAATTTAAATGGACGTCGCGAAATTAAATGTTTAAATCACATTGCTAAAACATTAATTGCTAAATTTCTTTAAGATGTGGCCCTATCAGAATGAGGGGTTTGGCTTCTAGACTTAGTATATAGTCCGTCTTATGAAAAACTTATTAACTCAATTATAGAAAATTTTTAATAATTAATAACTTTCTACAATTGTATTCTTAACGTGTTAAATGCTACATCGACTTTATATTCCAGAATTTTTCCTACTACAAATATTAAACTATTTTTCCTACTACAAAACTATTTTTCTTAGAGAATTTCAAAAAATTGTAGTAAGGTACTACTCAGAGAGTAGGGAATATTTTCTGAGTAAAATCTTCATTTTATAATTTTAATATTTAACTAATAATTGGAAAATTGCAATAAAATTGTATAACATTTTGATTAGCTCACATAATCAAATAGAATGCATCAAATTTTTAAAATTAAAATTTTAAAATTATTACGAGTAATAAGAAAAATTATAAAGATTCGCTCTTAAATTGTATAAATTGTTTAAATTCAAAAATGTAATTTATATAAGAATTTGAAAATTTTTCGAAAATATTTTTCTACTTACATTTTATTGATGCCCCAGTGTTAGTATGTATGTGTTCTGCTACAAAATTCTTTAAATTTATTTTAAGTTTTCAAATTTGTTTTTCACATAAACTTTTCAAATTTTAATTTAAAGCCCTTTTAATTTTTTACAGGCGATCATTTTATTTTTCTCTTCTTCTTGTTATTCTTCTATATTATTATCGCCAAATCGTTACAAATTTCTGTACATGTAACGTATGTAGGTATAGATGCAAGAATTAAAAATTAATTTTATAAGTATACAATCAAAAAAAATTTTGTAATTTTTTTTTTTTTCTATAATTTTTTCTTGTGTTCTTGTTGCTTTTTTGGCAAATTTAATTAATAATAATTTTTAGATTTATTTTTGAAAGAATAGTTTTTTTTTTTGTTATATGAAATTTTAGTTTTACCAAAAAGGCACACTTACATAATCATAATTAAAAAATTTTCAATTAAAATTTTAATTAAATTTAAAAATTATATGCGCACAATAATATAAATTTTTTTTTTTTAATTAAAAAAATTAAATGGGAAAATTTTTTTTTGAAAACACAAAAATTACGGGAAAAAATACACCAAGTAAATTAAATATAATATTAAAATTTGCTTTATTTTTAATTTTTTTTTGAATTATTTTATATATTTATTATTGTTTTACATATAGACACACACATATGTAAACATATACTATTGTGCAAATTGTAGAAATAGAATTTGGTTACGTTCAACTTTTTCTCTATAGTAAACTTTCACTTTTCACTGTTTTAAAATAAATTTTTTTTTAATTATTTTACTATATGTAAGAAATTTGAAATAAAATATTTTTAAAATATACTTTAATTTTTAATGTATATATTTAAATGTATATCGTATATTTATTAAATTTATTATGATTATATTCTAAGCATGCATGTATTTATGTATATATGTTAGTTTAAGCACATACAAAATTTAAAATTTAAATTTTAGAGGAAAATTTTTAATTTTTGACTATCAGATTATATTTGTAGGTGTTTGGTAATACCCAGAAAGCGGTTGTTTTTTTCCAAATTCACTTACAACTTACAAAATTAGAAATATATATATATATATATATTATATTTAGGTAATTTCTATTTTGTGGCATAACTACTTCTTAAAGTTTCGATCAAATTATTTTCGATTAATCAAATTATTTTCGACTGAATATTATTATTAAATTGTAAATATGCAAAAAAAAAATTCTATATTTTTATTTATATTTCAATTTATATAAATAATTTTACACTATGCATTTAATAAAATATTCTTATCATATGTACACATGTTACGTATATTTACGAACATCCTTTATATAAATAGAAATAATTTAAACCCGTCGGGATTATAAATTTGGACTTTTTATTCAAAAAACAAAAAAATAAAGAAACGAAAACAAAATTAACACTTTCAATATTAATAAATTTTGAAAATTTCCTTAATTTTTTTTTCTTTTATATTTTATTTTATATACATATATATCTTTAGGTATATTATATACTAAATATTTACTATAATTTTAAATTTTTTATATTTTTATACACCAATATATTTTTTCGCAGTTGTTTTACATTATGTACACAAAAGAAATTTTGTATTTTATTTTAATTTTATATATGAATAAAATATTTTTTTTTTATTTTTTTTTATTAATATAATGCTATGTGTTATTATTGTATTTTATATATTAAACAAAAAAATAATATTTTGTACGCTGTACAAATTTATATACAATAGAATTAAAATGAGATGAGACAATCCACATTGAACTCAAAATATTCACAACATTAAAAATATTTTTAAAATTTTTCAATTTTTTTTTTATATTTTTTTTTTTTGCTTTATTATTTATATTTTTAATTTAATTTGTTTCGTTATTTTCGTTTTATCACATTAATATTATTATCTTGTATTCTGCTATTTTGCTTTTTTTATAAGAATATTTTCACTATGGCTTCTATTTATTAAAATTTAAAAAACTCTGATTTTTTATTTAATATTTAAATAATATTAAAAGTTTGACCGCTCGACCGCTCAACCTAATCTATATAATTATAAAATTATATATTTCTATTCGCACACTTTTCTGAATGCTGAAGAAAAATATAACACAATTTCTTGTTTAAATAATAATATTTTTCATAATATTTAAATAATTTCCTGAAATATTTTAAAATAAAAAACAAAATTTATTAATTTGAATTGATCAAAAAAAAACGAATATTAAAAATATTTCATTTATAATTCAAAATTTTTAAAAATATATTCAAAATAATATAACAAAAAAAAAAAGAGAAAAAAATTCTAAAAAAAAAATTTCAAGAAAAATTTTTTTAACAACTCATTTGAATTTTTTTTTTATAATAGTATTGAATATTAAAATCTGTGAAAATATTTTTAGATTTTTAAAATTATACAACAAAATTTTTGTCCCTTTTAAAAAATAATTTATTTTTATTTTGTGTTATTTTGTAAGCTTTTTAATAATTCTTGTCAAATAATAAATTCTTAAGTGAGAACTCATTAACCAATTCAAATGAATGCATTTTATTAATTAAATATGTATATGCATTTTATATGCATATATACTTGAACTGACATACATATTAAAAGTAAATATAATTTTTTAATAGACATAAAATAATTTTAAATATAAAACGTTAACCATAGGATACGTTATTTTGTAATATTACGTTATTTGTTTTACATATACAACTATATCACTCTACATCAAATTTATTTGATTTTTCATATGAAAATGGTGATAAACAATTTCCGAATTTACCAACCTAACTCAACGATAGAAAATCGTAAACTAAAAAATAAATGGAAATTTAAAAATTTCAATCAAAAAGAAAAAATAAAAAAAATAAATTGTATATGAAAATAGGAAAACAGGAAGAGTTTGTATTAGTAGAAAACTTGCATGTATTTTTTATATACAATGTTAAAAAAATTTTTTTTTTTTGTTCTTGTTCTATACGATTTTTATTTTAATATTTTTTTAAAGAAATTTCGTTGACAATTTAATGTTTTATATTTTTATCTTATACTTTCACAGTATAACACTTTTCTTTTTTAGTATAACACTTATAATTTCTATTAAAAGAATAAGTATTATATGTTATATTTTTACATTTGGTGTTGCGTCACAAAAATAAAATTATTGTATTTTGTAACAATGAAAAAGTTATCATAAAACTGTTACTATCATGGGTTTTTTTTTTGGTATACAACTACTGTCATGTCATTTAAAAATAATGTTTTATAATAGTAAAAGAACAGTAACATTCAGTTTAATTTTTCCTAGTAAAATTCAGTTTAAATTTAAACTGTAAAAGTAACAGGAGATTTCCAAGTTCTATGACAGTATTATATTCAATTTAAATGCTGACGTTAAATTACTATGCCATCACATTAAATTCCAATGCCATCACAATGAAATGAAATTTTTACTTTTACATTTTGTAGCATGGAAAATAATAAAGCAAGTAATTGAAAAGGAATAATTTAAAAAAATTTCAATTCAATTTTAAATATGAATTTCAATTCAATTAATGTGTATGTATTTCCTCAGAATGATTATTTTGAATTGTTGTCAACAGTATTGAAAGAGAATATTCAATACCATCTGCAAGCACATTATAGTACACTATAAATGAAATTTATAATACAATTATTAGAATAGAAAAAAGAATATTAAAATTCAAACTAGACAATAATTTAATTATTTAATGTTCACAAAGTCAGAAGCAAAACTATAACTGTAAAAGAAATTATAATGGAGGAATATTTTTCATTACAGCGAATTTTTTTAAATTTCTTTAAGATTTCATTTTAATGAAACCAAATTTAATAAAATTCTAGTTTTCATTAGGGTTAGGTATAATATGTATAAGAAAGAATTATAGTTACTTCACATACTCAATGTAAGATTTTAATCATTAATTTTAACAACTACATAATACTCAAATAATTTTAATAATTAATTGACACTTACAGTTCCCATCAAACTCAAGAAAAAAGATGTTATTCAATTAAAAAATTTTTCTAAGTTTCGCAAATAACAAGGTAGTTATTAATATTTAATTCAACTAATTACTTGAATAGATTCTGATATTTTGTAAATATTACCGAGCTCAATTTACTGGGAAACTTTTATATTTTTTCAAATTAATCTGTTATACAAGCGTACACAGAAGTTTTTTCCACATATAAGTTTTACTTTTATATTGAAACTATTTGAATGTTATGTTTTTAATTTGAAAGAAGCATACCCTGATTCATAAACAATATTGTGTTGATGACACAATTTTTTTACTCAACAATAACTTTATAACAATTATGTACATAAGAAATATTTTGTAAACAGTTTTCTATAAAATATACTATTTATTTTTCATGCAATACTATTGAACCAAAGAATTGTTGAAAAATTATAATCTGTTATACTTATTCCGAATTTTGTTTTAAATACAACCACCTGTTGTTAGTAACAATTCACTTTCATTCATAAAAACCTAAAAAAATGCTATTTCTTTAGTGCATTTCTACACCTTTTTAGGGGAAATTCTTACAGTTATACTAGTGTGCAATAAGTGATATAAAAATAATTTAACAAGCAATATAAAAACTTGCAACAAAATTACTTTTATATTTTTAAAATATTTTCTGTTATATTCAAATGCGCATGATCGAAATAAAAAGTGTTATACTAATATTTCATTTCAAAAGCTTTTCCAATTCTTTCAATTTATTATGAGATGAACATCTACTGAAAGTGTTATAATTAAAAATTAATGCGATGTAAAATCATTTTTCAATTTTGTTGCCAACAAATTTATATTTTTAGATGCTCTTGGACGTAATATATTTGCCAATGACATTGGCCTTGAACAAGAAAACAAAAATAAAAAAATAAAACAAAAATTTTGTGCATGCTAAGCAAATAAAAGGACGTAAAAGAGAAGGAAATTTTCTTTCTTGTTTTATTCTCGTTATTGTACGGCTGTTATTATACTTTAAATGAATAGAAACTGCTTTTAAATAATTTATCTAGGCCAAATTGTTACATTTATAGTTAGATACATACATACATACATATTTCAAAAATAAAAATTAAAATAATAATTGAAAACGAAAAATTTTAAAAGCTTTTGAAAATGGAATATTTTTTTATGAATTGTTTTATAACAATGAAATATTTTTATTATTTCTTACCCGAATGTTGAAAAATGGTGTTTTGAAGACAATAGCCGTCAAAGTTATTTGATTTTCTATACTCAATTTTAGAAACTAACTATAGTAGACAAAAGCCGTCATGTTTATACTTAATTGTAGGAGCTATTAACTGTAAAGGAGAAATTTTAAATTATAATAAAATAAAATTAAAAA